ATATTATTTTCTGACCTCTTTCAACTAACTAACACCTGAGGTATTGAGCTTTATGAATTCCATTTCATTTATAGATGACTTCCAATTTACCTAGATTCATACTTTGTACATCCCAAGTTCGGATAATTAGTAAATTTTTGCAGCTATTTTTTCTCATTTTGAGTCATACCCCATCAATAAATGAAAGTCCTGGAAGTTTATGGTTGACTTTACTTTGAGAGACTTTAATAAGGAGGGCTCTCCCTTAGTCATATTCATTAGGCCTTCAATGTCTGACACTATTTCGATGCTATGCATAAGGTTTTCAGTGGCTAATTCCTCTTAAACAGACAATCAATCCCTTCTTCATATTCTGGTCTTCGTCTGAAATATCCACTGGAACCTGTTCAGGTTGATTCTGCTAGCATTTGAAATACCATTGGCTTAGCTTCCAGCATAAGAGCAGTGCACAAGCCACCAGACCACAAAAAACGGATAGACAAGTGATGGAGAGTATGGCAGAATTACCAAATAAGCCATACTTACTACTCCTTTTCCATTTGTTGTTGTTAGCTGGCTTTGAGTCAGCTCTGACTCACAGCAAATTCATGTACAACAGAATAAAGCACTATCCGGTCTCGGCCCATTGTCACAATTGTCATGATTGAGTCCACTGTTGTAGGTGCTGTGACAATACAGCTTGGGCAGGCCGTCCTCTTCCTTCATGCCCTCTACTTGATTAAGAACAATGTCCTCCTCCAGGGACTGGCCTCTCCTGACAGCATGTCCAAAGTATGTGAGACTAAGTCTCGCCACTGTTGCCTTGAAGGGGTACCCTGGCTATACTTCTTCTAAATCAGATTTATTTGTTCTTTTGGCATAGTATTTCAATATTTTTCATAAGCACCATAATTTAAATGAATACATTCTTTTTTAATCTTCCTTATTCAGTGTCCAACTTTCATAGGCATATAAGGTGATTGAAAATACTATGGATTGGATCAAGTGAACCTTAGTCCTCAAAGTAACTTTCTTGCGTTTTCACACTTTAAAGAGATCTTTTGCAGCAGATTTACCTAATCCAATAAGTCATGTTATTTCTTGACTGCTGTTTCCATGAGCATTGATCATAAATTCAAGCAGGATGGAATCCTTAACACTTTCCACGTTTTCTCTCTTTACCATGATGTTAAGTGTTGGTTCAGTTGTGAGAATTTTGGTTTCTTTCCATTGAATTGTAATCCATTCTGAAGGCTGCAGTCCTTAATCTTTATAGATAGGCATTATTCACTTGTCATCCATCAGAGTATAGGATTTTGGAATCACAACATATTCGTAACATTATTTTGGCTTCAAGTAACCAAAACTTCAATTCCTTAAACAATATGGAAAATTACTTGCTCATTAACTCTAAGTCCTCGGTTGGGTTTTGAGAGTGACAGATAAGTAGCATCAAAATCTGATTTTGCTCCTTATTGTCCTCTCTTTCTGTCAGCGTGTGACCTCACCATCTGACTAGCTCCCCTTAGCACTTTAAAATTGGCGCCAAATAGTATTGTAGATAAGAAAGCAATTCTTCCTCAAGTCACACTTCCTTTCAAAGTGGGAGGTATAAATTAGATCTCATCTCCTCAACAAGTGCCAGAGGGAGGCCACTCTCTGATTGGTTTAAGTCTTAAATCCCGAACCAACCAGCACCACAGGCAATGAAATTATCATCAGTATCAGGGTCCCCTTCTGGAGCTACGATGTGGTCTAAGTTTAGGAAAATAAACTTGATATTTACCTCTGACAGCATGTGTTCTAACAACTACTCGTTATATCCTTAAGCGTAGTACATAACTTTGTTGAACATAAATTTCTTCACTGAGCCTCAATTTCCTTATGTACAAAATTAGGATAATAATACCTGATCTTCTTATGGTGATTTGGAAATAAATTTGGATAGCGAAATTACTGTGAAAAATAAAATGCTTCAGAATGCCTGATCCACACATAGTAAGTTACTAGTGAATTTCAGAATTATGTAATTATGATCTACTTATTCACATATTTTTATATTGTGCAATACAAAAAGCCGTGTTACATAGCAGTTATGTGTTGGGCTGCTAACTGCAAGGTCAGCAGTTCAAAGCCATCAGCCACTCTGTCTGAAAGACAGGCTTTCTACTCCTGTAGTGAGTTACAGTCTTGGAAACCCACAGGGGCAGTTCATCCTCTTCCTATAGCGCAGCGGTTCTCAACCTGTGGGTCGCAACCCCTTTGGGGGTCAAATGACCTTTTCACAGGAGTTGCCTAAGACCATATTTCCCATGGTTTTAGGAACCGAGACACCACTCCTCTATCCGTCTGCAGACAGTCTGCCCCCGTGCAGATATGCCCACATGTGGGGTCACCACAACATGAGGAACTGTATGAAAGGGTGGCGGCATTAGGAAGGTTGTGAACCACTGCTCTACGGCAATTCTGAATTGGAATTGACTCCATGGCAGTGAGTTTGAAGCTTGAGTGCATACCAAAGACCAAACCCTACTCGATTCCAACTCATGGGACCCTACGCAGCGTTTCTGAGATTGTACATCTTTATGGGAGCAGAGAGCCTATTTTCCTACCTCACAGCAGCTTGGGGGTTTGAACTGCTGACCTCACAGTTGGTCTAAAGCCTAATCCATAACACCACCAAGGTTCCTTCTATGGTGTAGTAGTTGGTTTTGAATCACCTTGAGGGGGTTTGAAGATATGAACAGCATTATTTTCACTGTCATATCTCAATCTCTAGGTGCCATCAGGCGGAGGTGCTTCTGACTCATAGCAACCCTATGTACAGGAAAGGGAACACTGTCCAGTGCTGTGACCCACTCCCACGTGTTGCTATGTTTGAGTCCATTGTTACAGCCACCGTATCAATCCGTCTCATTACAGAGTTCTCTTTGGCTGCTCCTCTACCAAGCATGATGTCGTTCTGCAGGCACTGGTCCCTCCTGACATAGCCAAAGTCCTTGACATGAACGCTTTCTATCATTGTTTCCAGGGAGCATACTGGCTAACTCGGCTTTTAAGAAGCACTCAGACTAAACTTCTTCCAAGACAGATTTGTTTGTTGTTTGGGCAGTACGTGGTACATTTAATATCCTTCTCCAGTCTCACATAAAATAATTGCTTGTCATTCTTTAACAAATGAAGTAATATCTAAGTAGTTCCATGGGTCAGGCATGTTGGGCTACTGACTGCAATGTTAGTGGTTCAAACCTACCATTTGCTCCTCAGGAGAAAAATGAGGATCTTTGCTCCTAGAGAGAGTCACCGTCTCAGAAACACTATATAGCATCACTAAGAGAATTGGTTCGATGGCAGTGGATTTAGTGTGGGGCTTTTTTATTGAGCGAATAAAAGAGTCCAGCAAACAATTGGTGGTAAATATTTTATTTTAGAAAGACTATCAAATGGTGCCTGGATGGGTTGCTGGTCAGGGTGGGCATGAGAACAGAAAGGGCCAGGTTAGCAGAGAATGTTTTTGGAAGAAAATTCTCCCAGACACAGAGAAGGATTTTCTTTGAAGTTTGCCATGGTGGCAGGAAGAAAGCAAACCAAAATGGCAGCTTGACTTCATGGTTACCAGTTCATACTGGTTTTAAGATTGTAAGAGTATGATTTCTAACATTAGTATGCAGACATTAACATTGTATTACTTAAAAAACAGATTCTAACATACAAATTGCTTTCTAATTTGATTTTATCCAGACTAATTGTATATCAGGCCATCTTACACATATTTACAACCATTGATATTAATTCATTATTTCCCAGTCAATATCTTACTACATTTTAGATATGGTTTTAGGTTATTTCTAGTTTTTTTATTTTATTTTAAGCAATATGACCATCTTGGTCTATATTTTCCAAGTGGTGTATGTTTTGAAGAGGAGAAAAAATTCCAGACATGCAATTGTTGGAAGTTCTTTATAATTAGTATGGTAGTTTTACACATCCTTAGAAACAGTTACAAAATCAATGATTAAAAAATGTATGTACTCCTCATACTTAGCATCCTTGCGATTACTAATGCAATTGACCATTTATTTTACATTTTTATCATATTTCTTGAATTTTGAATTGATTTTTCAAAACACATGTAAACATTTTTATATATTATGCAAATTAGCTTTTTGTCAGTTATAAAAGAAGACAAAAATCACTCTGTTCTTGACAGGAGGAAACCATTTGCTTTGCAACAGTACTTGGGGTGGTGAGAAATGATAGAGACAACCCAGGCCCCAGAGGATGCTCTGGGAGCTGAAGTGAATATAAAGCTGTGTGCTCCTTTTCAGGGACTCTTTCAGAATTACTGCTGAGCAGTGGAGATGAAGCATAATAAGCTTTATGATGAAAAGAAAAATGAAAGAAAAACTGGCTCAAGGACGCTCCAAGGGAGCTAAAGGGTCCAGGGACGATCAAACTACCCCTTTCCTCTCGGGAACCCACAGCAGTAAAACAAAGACAAGGCCACCCTAGACAAAGCATAGCTCTTCCTTTAATCAGATTTCAACTTAAAATTCCTGGTCTCCCCTCCAGCTCTATCCACCCTGCTGCATATGTGGTAAACATTCAAAGGAATCAGAGTTCTTGCTCTTTCTAGAGAGCAGTCGCTCTCCAAGAGTCAGGTTTCAACCCCGGGGGACCACAGTCTAGGTTTGCTGACTCAGCTGCACAAGTAAGGTGCGGCCTTGAAACACAAAGAAGGTGAGAGTTGAAGTCTTCGCACTAGAAATCACTCTGCCTGTTGTAACTGTGCATGTGGTCTTGTCCCTGGCCCAGAAAGAGCTTAGTAATTAAAAATAAATAAGCTGGACATTATTTGACTCTTTGTAGTCTATTCATTTATCATCTTTAAGAAATGTGCCAGAAGCTATTTTCATATGGGAGAGATGATTAGTGGAAGTTAATTCATTTTTAAGTTGGACTTGTAAAAGAAGCTTTCAAAAACACTACACTTACATCTTCTAACACAAAAATCCCTTTAGCTTGTAGCTTCTGAAGGAACAAAATCAAAGCTGCTTGAACATGTTTCCCAGCTGGAGGAAAAACTAGAAGCTTCTGACCACACAGCAGGCAGTGGGGAGCCATATGAGAAAATTGTTCTTGCCAAAAACCAGGTATGTTGGGGAGAAAGAAATCCTTTCTTTTAAACATTATCTAAATTTATTGAAACTGGAAATTTTGCTGAGACATTTCTGGTTGGATTAGATATTCATATTTAAGTTCAAGGTGGTAAGTGATAATATTTTTATTCTGCTATGGGTATTTTTATTTTTGGGGAGCTAGTTACATATAAAATCAGTTTTGCTGCTTTTTAAAATTCATTTGATAGATATCCTTTTAAGCAGTATTAACTAAATATTACATGTACATCCACTATTGATGATATAATTGTTTCATCATATTCAAAGATGAAGCTAATTAAGGAATAGTTCTTTTAGTGTAATATACCAAGTGGATCATAAAATTTGCCAGGCTACTTTTAGTTAGTTACTTAATTGAATTAAGAAATAAATCACTTATTACTCTCTGGACAATTATTTATTTGTTAAGCAGGTTTCTCTAGAGAAACAGAACCAGGACACTTATGACTAGATAGATGATAGATAGATAGATAGATAGATAGATAGATAGATAGATAGATAGATAGACAGATAGATAGAGATAGATTTAGATATATACTGCATGAAGGAATATAACAGCTAATTAGTCCACACAGCAGTACAGAGGGCTCATTTCAACTCACCTCTGTGGAACAGTTAATATACTGGAAGTTCTTCAACTCATGAGGACTGCTGGGTCCAAGGTCAAGGAAGAAGACAGCTAAGTCTTCCCTTGGGCAAATGCAGGCAGTTTGGCCCCAGGCAGTAAACAGCAGGGTGAGTCACCAACAATCAGCAGCTCAGGAGCTTGGTCAAGCCGACCCGGATGGGATATTGAACTCAAGAAATGCAAGACAACATGATCCACCAGCCTCAAGCTCAAGTGATGTATACACCAGCGGCATGGCGAAGCAGGTCTTGAAGGAAACTCAAACACTAGTGACACAACACGGTCCACAGGTTGGCAGTCCTACAGGCAGTGTAGTTCACAAGTTGAGGCAGAGAACTAGCTAAAGCAGCCACACACTGGTCCGAACACCGGAGAGCAAGAGAGAGAGGGGCGGGCCTTGCCCAGCCACTTCACTCTTTGCCCTCCAATCAAACTGTGACCTTATTAATCCCACATGTTCCTATTGGCCAGGTTGGCACAATAAACCTACCTATCACAAACCCAAATGACTTTATATCTACCTTTGAAGTGTATGCATGTTTTTATGTGAAGGTATATATAATTTCTATCTGGTATACATTGAATATGGAACAGTAATGCACGTTGTTTCCTCATTTTCCACTTTTCAGTACATTGAGAAATTACAAGCTGAAGTGAAAGCATCCCAGGAACAACTCATGGCCTATGTAAGCGTTCTTCATCTTTTCTCATCCTTTTACTTATCGTCATTATCAAAGTGGACAGAGGTCGACCAGAATTTATGTTAGAGGTATTTGCTACAAACTAAGTCAGATGAAGTAGAAACCTATAATTTTACTGCTTCAACAAAGGTGCTTTCTATCAATAGAATTCTGATTGGTAACAATGATAAATATTATAAAATTTAGATGAAATCTATAACTCGATAGTTTAATCAGGCAATAGCAGTACAAAGAACTATAAACTATGGGTCAAAAACAAGCAAACAAAAGAGAGAGAGAGCAAGAGAACCAGGAGAGTTTAGAGCATGAGTGGGCATTCATAGACTCAGAATACAGATCTAAAGCAGTTCTACTCAAAGTGTACAAATTACCCAAAGATCCTGTTTCCTAGTGCCTGGGTGGGACTTCAGAATTTCCTTTCCTTGGTGATGTTCGATCCAGGCACTGATGCTGGCAGTTTGATGCTGCACTTTGAGCAGCATTGTTTTACAGATATGAATCTGCAAGTGACCATATAAAGCAATTATTGTTCAAATTCTGCTGCAAGGGCTTCCCTAATGGATACCTCCTGCATTTCTAGGGATAATTTTGTTCGTGCTTGAGTCTAGTAACCCATTTTTGCTCAGAGAAAAACTAATGAACATGTTTGTCGTGGTTCCCTTATTTCCTTGACATCGTTCCTTCACAAAAATCTAAAAATTCAGGAGACCTTTAGCCTACCGTCAAAGACTTGCTTTCCCTAATTTTCGTCATCTTCTTCTACATCTAGGCTGCCATGAGGACAGCCGAATTAAAATTACTGGCAGTCATGTTCAAAGGACCATTTGATCAACTCCATCTTCTTTGGGCAGACAGAAGTCCTACAAGGTAGCCATTTCGAAGATCTGCTGAATAGATTCTAAACAATAATGAATGTTGGTGACGATCCCTTTAGGGGTTGAAGTGAGCTGATTATCCAAATGCATTGGGCATTGTATGCTGATTGAATCCATGAGGGAAATGACTAAGGCCTGTATTTGCGATGTGACAGTTCAGACAGCACTGCATCTCATACACTCAGTGTTCTCCCGAGGATGCTGTATCGTCAGATGGTGTCCCCTCCTGCCAGAGTGGCATCCACAGTCATACTCACAGGGAGTCCTTAGCTCAACAATATTTGAACGCAGAGGTGTTCACAGGCTTGCTGATAGGAGCTTCTCGTGCTTCTGCATGAAAAAGTGATGGAACTGGAAGGAGTCACGGGTTATCTTAGAACATTCTTGTAGTGTCTGTCATCTTCCATGCTGTGCTTCTATGGCTTCTTTTCCTGTATCATGATATTCGTGTCTCAGACTTATCTGATTCAAGTACTGATACCCATGGCTGAGACTTCTCAGGCTATGTGTTTGTTCAACGTGCAGGTTGTAAGGTTCAGCTGCTACATGTTCATGTGCAATCATCAAGGCTTTGCTTCAGCTCTTCAAGCAAAAAACAAAGTGAGACAAATATTTATAAGGGTACTTATCAAGAATGGATATATGTCTACTATTTGGTAGGCTCATCATACTGTAAAAAAATGTTTTAATCTCGCTATAACACAACACGGTGAACACAACTTTTCAGATGAGAAAACTGAGTCATAAAGAGGTTTTGTCACTTGTACAGGATCACGTTTGACTTTAAAACCATTGATGCTGGTGCTGCCTTTTAAAAATCACCATTTGCTGCCTTTCCAAATTATAATCTCCCTAGGCTATTTGAGGTGACAAAATAGTGGTTATAAAGGTATAACTTCAATCTTCTTTTCCCTCTCAATTCACTCTTCATGATTCATCAATTCAGAATGCTTCAACTCTCACTTCCATACAAATAAACAGCCCCTTCCACCCCCGCCAATTTCTTTCTATCTTAATCATTCCTAATTAAAGCTCTTTGGTGCTTCAATGAGTATTTCTTAAAATATTATTCCTTGGGGGAAAAGGAGACACCCTGTATGATGCTAATAGGCTATCTGAAAGACTTAAAAGTAGGGAGGGCTTTTTTTTTAACTGCAGGACTTACATAACCAGTTTTTAAGAGAGGGCCATCATACGGTGTTTCCCAAAGGGGCTTGACCATTAAGTGTTTGACAGCACATTGGTTTAGAGATTACTGCCATATTGCCTGGAGCTGAAGGAGTGTTCTTGCTACATGAGAACTTAATATCTTGCTAACACCTCAGCTCAGTTGTATAGTTGTATACATTGTCAACTTTATTATCTTCTGCTCCCAATCTCAAGCATCCTCCTCTGCCATGATGAATATACACTACTGTTGTTAATTCTAGACTCAAACTATAAAGCTGTTTTTAAATCTTATTCCTTTTTCCTTCCATCAGCATACTATTAATTGTCAGGCCGTATGTTTCTCTGTCACCCCACTTCTATGTCCTCTGTTCCTGTCCCTCTACTGCTTTCCTAGCTCTTTCTAGCTATCTTTTATGTAGTTATTGTGACCAAGTCAAAATTATTAGCATATGTGGGTTCACTGCCTTCCCATTACAAAGTAGCCCACTTGGCTTTGACACCATACCCTCTTTTGCAGAGGAGAAAACACGAGAATCGTGTGTACAGGCTTGTAGGTGAGGGAAGAAAACCAAACAAAGCCAAAAGAGACCTGTCTCCGGGAGGATGAACTCCAGTGGAGCAGCAGAGAAGACCAAGGAGGGGATCCAGCCAGGGAGGCGGGAGGGCTGGCATAGAGCGAGGAGGGATGAGGATGCTTCTGGAAAAGTAAAGAGTACTGCATCTGGGTGTTTGGGGTGGGGGCAGGAGAGGCACTGAAGAAGAGGAGGCAGTAGTCATCACATTCGCCCTGGATTGTGTACTTGAAAACACCTATCATGTTGTGAGGAGGCATGAGTGACATTCAAAGTGCCTGGCTAAACCTAACACTGCTTTACTTTTCCATGGGAGTTGCTATGTGGCAGTCAGGTGACGCCAACTCAACAACAGAATGGAATGCTGCGCCATTCTCACAATTGCTGTTGTGTGTGTGCTCGTCTCCGCAGCTGCCATGTGCGTCCAGCTCACGGAAGGTCCTCCTCTTTTTCACTGTGGCGGCCAGGTATGATGTCCTTCTGCAGGCACTGGTCTGTTCGGACAACATGTTCAAAGGGCAGGAGACAAAATCCCACCATCCTTGCTTCCACTGAGCTTTCTAACCATGCTTATTCCAAGACAGATTTCATTTCTTCTTCTGGCAATGCATCATATTTTCAACATCGGATCCTAAGGCCATAAATCGAATGCATCAATTCTTCCGCAGTCTTCTTCATTCATTCTCTGACTTTCACATGCCCGTGAGACCACGGAAAGTGCCTTAGTTTAAGTCAGGTGTGCCTGAGGCGACAACACCTTAAGCACCTTGTTCTTCAACACTTATAAAGAGCTTGTGCAGCAGATGTGCTAAATGCAACACTTCATTTGGTTTCTTGACTGTTGGTTCCACCATCAGTGATTGTGGATCCCAGCAAAATAAAGCCCCTGACAGCATCAACCTTTTCTCCATTTATCGTGATGTTACCTATTGCTCCAGTTGGGAAGATTTGGGTTTACTTTGCATTGATTTGTAATCCACACTGAAGACTGTAGTCTTTGATGTTCACCAGTAGGTGCCTCAAGTCCTCCTTAAATTTGACAAGGAAGATTTTGTCACCTGCATATGACAGGTTGTTAATAAACCTTCATCCAATCCTAAGGGCCACATTCTTCTTCATATATTCATTTCTCAGAGTATTTGTCCAGTCAGCCAATTGAATACAGCTGGTGAAAGCACTTAGCCCCAACACAAAACTTTCTTGATTTTGAACCACACAGTATTTTCGTATTTTATTGGTTCATATAAATGTTCCCCATGGGGGCAATGAAGTGTTCTGGAATCCTCATTCTTCTGAATGTTATCTATGGTTTGTTATCTATGCTCCACATAGTCAAATACCTTTGTGTACCCAATAAACAGCAAGTAAACATCTTTCTGGTGTTCTCTGCTCTCAGCCATGGTGGTTTTCTTTCCTGCATCCAGCCTGGATGAGAGTACAGTCCCTCTTTCCCTCCTCCTGACCACGCTGTCTCATAGTGAACTGGAGCTATGAGTGTTTCTTTATACCACTATTACTTTGGGATGCCTTGTAACCTTGCTCACACTGTTCTCTTGGCCTGGAATGTCCTTTCCTCTCTGTTCAGCCAAACAATTCTTACTCTTGTCAGACTCAGAGCAGGAATCAAGTACCTCTTTCATCCTCAGGTTCAAGTGACCCTCCGGATCAGGGTAAAACTGGCCTGTGAGTTTCTGAGGCTGTAACATTTCACAGGAGTACAAGACCTGATCTGTCTCCCTCAGAATGGCTGGTGGTTTCAACCTACTCATCGTGAGGTTGTTAACCCAACATATAAGATATATTATTGACATCCCCACTAGATGCTAAGAAAGCTGCATGAAGAATGTGTTTCTGTATCTGCTGCTTCCGTTCTGTACTTAAGACATGATCATCACTGCCATCGAGTCAGTTCTGACTGACAGTGGCCCTAAGTAAGATTCCTGAGGCCACAGATCTTCATGGGAGCAGACAGCCTCACGACAGAGGAAGAAGGCACAATTGTGCTCTTCAGGCTAAGAAGGGTGTTGAAAGGAAGCTATAATCTTACCATAAAAATGAGCAACCAAGGATCTAGTGAGTTCCATTCTCCACAGCCCAATAGCTGAACCATATTGGTGTATAATTAACTTGATGATTATGAAATGGAGAGGGCATACAAGTCTTAAAAATGTGGAGGGCGTCGTCTGCTATGTTCAAGATTAAAATCTCATACCAGTAACTTTACTCCCTACTCACAGCTGATGCCTTGAATAGATTACTTAAGGTTCCCCTCCCATTGCACATGGGCACTACCAGGCTGAGCCACCCACAGGGCTAATCTGTCCCTGGCGTTTGAATCAATCCCTCCCATATGATTCGCTATCTTTTA